CCCACCCCCGCCAGGCTTCCAGCCGGAAATTCAGAAAATACCGGACATTGCATGTGTCTGGTATTTTCTGAATTTGTCTACCGGACAGAGGGTGCAAAAACCAGACACCTGGCAACCCTGCTGCCAGGGCAGGTGCCTGCTGAGGGAGGCTCTCATGTAACAAGGCAGTTCTGGAGGATGGAAGAATCCCAAGCATTGTTCCCACCCCCGCCAGGCTTCCAGCCGGAAATTCAGAAAATACCGGACATTGCATGTGTCTGGTATTTTCTGAATTTGTCTACCGGACAGAGGGTGCAAAAACCAGACACCTGGCAACCCTGCTGCCAGGGCAGGTGCCTGCTGAGGGAGGCTCTCATGTAACAAGGCAGTTCTGGAGGATGGAAGAATCCCAAGCATTGTTCCAGGCTGGGGACTGACTGGCTAAGCAGCAGTTCTGCAGAAAAGGACCTGGGGATGACAGTGGATGAGAAGCTGGAGATGAGTCAGCAGGGTGCCCTTGTAGCCAGGAAGGCGAATGGCATATTAGGGGGCATTAGGAGGAGCGTTGCCAGCAGATCCAGAGATGTCATTATTCCCCTTTATTCAGCTCTGGTGAGGCCACATCTGGAGTATTGCATCTAGTTCTGGGCCCCCCGCTATAGAAAGGATGTGGGCGCATTGGGGAGGGTCCAGCAGAGGGCAACCAAAATGCTGAGGGGGCTGGAGCACATGACCTACGAGGAGAGACTGCGGGATTTGAGTCTGTTTAGTCTGCAGAAGAGAAGAGTGAGGGGGGATTTAGTAGCAGCCTTCAACTCCCTGGCAGAGGTTCCCAAGAGGCGGGAGAGAGGCTGTTCTCAGTGGAGGCAGAACAAGGAGCAATGGGCTTAAGTTGCAGTGGGGGAGGTCTAGGTTGGACATTAGGACAAAGGATTTCCCTAGGCGGGTGGGGAAGCGCAGGGCTGGGTTCCCTAGGGAGGGGTGGAATCTCCATCCCTAGAGGTGTTTAAATTCCAGCTGGACAAAGCCCTGGCTGGGTTGATTGAGTTGGGATTGACCCTGCTTTGGGCAGGGGGCTGGACTCGATGACTCCCGAGGTCTCTTCCAGCCTTAGGATTCTAGGATATTGAGAGGATCAAATCAGGGCAAACTGCTTAGACACAGAACTGCCACAGCTCAAGACCGGGGCTGCTCCACTCAAAGGCACACCTAACCCCTCGCAAAGAGAACTTCTGCTTCACCATGCTGGTTAACAAGACGTCATACAAGCAATTCCCTCTGACGCTGCAGTTTTCCAGACCACCGCCACTAACCCTCCTCGTACACGTGACAGTCTGTGAAAACCAAGCTCATCTTATCAAGAGGTTCTTTCCATCCCAACAGGACCAGCCACCTTCCCAGCCCAGTTTATAACATAGAATCTTAGCCGAAAATCATCCAGTGCCAGTCCTTTAGGGTACGGCTACTCAGCGGCATTATTTCGGAATAATAGAGCGCACGTTTACACTACAAGCCTTTATTTCGAATTAATGGCAAGCTGGAGGACTTCTTACTCCAACTCCTGTAACCCTCAGTTTACGAGGAGTACGGGAAATTGAAGGAAGAGGGCTCTTCCTTCCACTTCCTGCGGTGTAAACAGCGCCACAAACCGAATTAAGCTATTTCGACTCCAGCTACGCAATTGACATAGCTCAAGCTGTGTAGCTTAATTCGAGTTTTGCCCTGATGTGTAGAGGTGCCCTTAGAATCTAACACCCAACACTTTATTTGAAGAAAGAAAGAAAGAAAGAAAGAAAGAAAGAAAGAAAGAAAGAAAGAAAGAAAGAAAGAAAGAAAGAAAGAAAGAAAGAAAGAAAGAAAAGTTACAGGACTCAAATCCTGGATAGGTTCTCTGGGATGGGCCTTTTGCTTTGGATCATAGATTTTTAATGTGGTTGTGGATGTTTCCTAAACTAACGCCTGATTCGCTGTCCCTTTTCATTCAGGTTCTCATTCGTTCTCCACCAAGTCAGCGCTTGCCAGTGGGGAAGTGTTGCCTTTTTACCCAGGCAGATAGGCAGGGCTAGGCTGATCCAGCCTGCTCCTGAAGTCTCCATCCCCGTGTTCGGCACTAGATGTCAGGTCTGTCAAAGAAAAACAGATCAGTAGGAAACGGCCCTTTGCCGTCGCTTGATTCCGCCAGCTTCTTACTGGGGTTTTACATTCAATTTCCATCTGGCCCAGTGTCCTGCTCACACTGTCATTGAATAAAAATTTGACGACTCTCAAGCACACTCGCTATAAACTCCGCTCCAACCTATTCTAACCGCCCCAGCCTGGGGACAGAGCCTGGGCCACATCCTGGCTGGCTCTGACTTTCCCACAACAGTCTCCAACTTCTCCCACCAGCAACTTCAGTTTCCCATGCGCCCTTCCTGGCTCCTTATTCCTTAAGCTGGAGCAGCCCATCAGCTGCAGGCTGCTGGCCCCCCTTCTCTGGGGCCGGGTGCTGCCTGTCTCGCTGCTAGCCTGGTTCCCACTGCTGGGCAGCCTGCCCCCCACGGTCCCCAGCTTGTCAGGTGGGGCTGAGCCAGCTCTGTGTTGGGCGGCACAGACTGCCATAATCTGTCAAGCGCCGCCCCGGCCGGGACGAAGTGAGGCCTCTGGCCTGCTGGGGCGTAGCCAGGCAGCTCGCATTGGCTTCACCCCCGCCGCTCGCTGGTGCTGCCAAGAGAACTGGTCAGAAATTATGCAGTGCTCCAGCAGATATGGGGGAATGCGCAAAGCAGTAAGAACAGAAGCAAAAGGTTCTAACTGGAAAGAGCATTAGTGTGACCAGCTTCATTACTTACTGATCCTCACCGCTCTGATAGTTTCATACCAAAGATTGTTTAAAACAAACATGTCAGACTCCCTGACTTATCCGCTGCTTTTTCTTCCTTTTGATATTCTAAGCCCTGGCCCTCTTCCCCTTCTTTACTTAGTCAGACGGGCTACAATAGCTGCCTGAGGACACGTGGATGGAAAGGAGTCAGAGAAGTCATACCCACCGTCCTCCACCCCCTTCCCACAATAAGAATGGAGAAAGGTTCTCATCCCCCCCCCTTCCTCCTCTCCCACTTTTTAGGGAAGAGGATGGGGGTTGGCAATTGAGAAGTCTCACAGGAGGGAAAGGTTACGGAGGATTCTGAGTAACGATGAGACAGATCAGTACTGGGGTAGTGCTACGGGGGAGCTCTCTGCCTCTGGGCTACGCCTAGACTGGCATGATTTTCCGGAAATGCTTTTAATGGAAAAGGTTTCCGTTAAAAGCATTTTCGGAAAAATCGCGTCTAGATTGGCACGGACGCTTTTCTGCAAAAAGTGCTTTTGTGGAAAAGCGTCCGTGCCAATCTAGACGCGATTTTTCCGAAAATGCTTTTAACGGAAACCTTTTCCATTAAAAGCATTTCCGGAAAATCATGCCAGTCTAGGCGTAGCCCAGAGGCAGAGAGCTCCCCCGTAGCACTACCCCAGTACTGATCTGTCTCATCGTTACTCAGAATCCTCCGTAACCTTTCCCTCCTGTGAGACTTCTCAATTGCCAACCCCCATCCTCTTCCCTAAAAAGTGGGAGAGGAGGAAGGGGGGGGGATGAGAACCTTTAGCTGCTACCCTACAGATCAATACAACCCTCCTAGCTGTTCTTTTATTTGTCCCTGCTGGGAGGGAAAGTCCAAGAACCACTGAGGCGGGGTTAGACGGTGGGGGGGAGGGCTCTCTTAGCAGGAAGTCGCACTTTACACAGTCACCATGTGCTCTCGCATCTCCTTTTGCCCACCAACATAATGCAGCCACCCCTGGGGTACCCCAAGGCCACAGCTAACATGCACACACCGACGGCACACAAGAGCCGAGGCCAGGAGACCCTGTGTCCAGGCGCAGCTGTGTGGGGATGGGGAGCTAAGGGCCAATGCGCACTGCTGGAGACAGGGCGAACCGGGCTTTCAAGTCGCTTGATGCGGCAGCCGTCCCTGCCGTGTGCATTCACAGCAGAGCCACCGTCTGTCCCCACGCCCTGGGGCCGAGGTGTGTACCCCCCCATGCACAGCAGCAGCTGCCCCAGTCTGCTGCAGCTGCCAGGACTGGGTGGGGGGGATCCCCCCAGGGTGTTCTAGTCTGAGCCCTGCTGCGACTGGCAGCTGGAGAGAGGTGATAAAGTTCTCTGGAGGCTGCCCCGCGCAGTCACTTAGCAGCCGGGGCCCAGCACTGAGCTATCTGCATCTGTGGTCTGGGCCACACAGGGCTGTGCTCTCTGGCCGTGGGGAACAAGGGCTCGGCACGGTGCAGCACGCCCCTGCCTTTCTGGGCCAGCTCCCTGAGGTGCAAGCTCCCTGCCCTGGGAGCCTCCAGCCTCAGCTCCCCTCCAGCCTAGCTCCCTTCCCCCCTCGCTGCAGGGAGGGGGAGGTTCTATGGAGCTGGCACCTTCCAGCCATGGCTGAGATGGTTACTGTGGCAGCTGGGCTCCCCCCCAGATACAATCGCAGGAAGGCAGAGCTGGTGAGGGGGGAGGAGAGGCCACAAGAAGTGTGGGGCAGAGTGAGAGCGGAGACTTGAAGGCTCTGTCCCTCATTGACGCTGAGGGCGGCTCAGGTCCCCAGCTCTGCTCTGGGATGTGGATCTCCAGTCCCTCCCGCCACAGGCAGGCTCCTGCCAGCTGCTGTCTGCTCCCCAGAGGTGGCTGCATGGCGGGAGCGGGCGAGATGATTCCCGTGTCCCCGGTGCTCTAGGCAGCACTTTATACCGCGTGGCAGGTGCCCTGCAATTGCCCAGCCCTTGTCCCCAAACACTCCCCCTCTCCCTTGCGGGGTCACAAGAGACTTGATTTCTTTTGTGCTGCCCGCAAGTGGTCCAGAGGGGCGAGGCGGAGGGTGGGGCCCGCTCTGCCGGCCCTGGCTGCACCACACACCTGAAGGGCAACTGCCTGTAGGAGCCATTGGGGGAAGATGGGAGCTGGGAGCTGGGGGAGGGGCAGTGGGAGCTTGCGGCACCAGGAAAGGCTGTTCCAGCAGCCAGGAGGCCGTGGAGGCTCTGGGGGACAGATTCACCTCCCCTTCAGCATCTCCTGGGGCGGAGAACACGACCTGACTCTTCAGTGTTTGCCCCAATTAGCCCCCTACCAAAGGGCACCACAAATCCCTGGATTATCCAGCTCCACCAAACCTAAACCCAGCCCCTGCAGGCTCCACGGCCTCCCAAAGCATCTCTGGCTCCCAGCCTGGGGCTTGACTCTGGTTGCAGCCGAACGGTCCAGAAGGAACGGCTGTCAGGAGACAGAAAGCAGGTCACTAGACGATGCCTTTGGTCTGCGGGTCGGGACTGAGGGGCATCAGCAGATCTAGGTGCATGTTCAGCTCACCCAGGCCCTGCTGCCCTGTGCCCGGCCCAGCCACCTCTGTGTGTTCCTGGCTCCCTGCCGTGTGAAACCTGCTCTCCTGCTTCTCGGTGTCAGGCCCAAGGGCAGAGACAGGGAGTCACCGTCCATCATCCTGTGCCAGGGAGGTTGAGAGGGCTCTGAGCCCATTTGCACAAGGCCACACAGCAGCACAGACCAGTGCCCCACAGAAATGGGGCTGGAGCGGCAGCCTGCTTGGGCAGAGACAGGGAGTCACCGTCCATCATCCTGTGCCAGGGAGGTTGAGAGGGCTCTGAGCCCATTTGCACAAGGCCACACAGCAGCACAGACCAGTGCCCCACAGAAATGGGGCTGGAGATGGAATGGGCAGCAGCAATCAGGCAGCGCCAAGCACCCGGGGCTCAACTGGAGACAGGGGGCCAGATCCCAGCTGGGTCAATGGGCCCCGGGTCCATGGGTGGCCATGGGGTGGGGCCAAATCCCCACAAGCAGGAAGGCTGCTGGACCCGCCGGCCATGGGGCTAAATCAAAGGGGAGGATGGCAGGACATTGATCCGTCCCGGCCCCCAGGCTCTGTCTGGCCAGAAGGTTCCACTCAGGCTCCGGGGCGGAGCCAGCGAAGCCCCAC